GGGCTTGTCCCGGCTGTCTGTCTTGGTGCCCTCCACCTTCCTCACCACCTCCTGGGGAAGGTGGAGGGCTCAGCACCCATGTCCCAGAAGGTACCTCCCAGCACCTTCTCAGCATCGTGCCAGCCCGGTCCTGCTGTCTCCCCCCACTCCCAGGTGGTCACCCCCTTACCATGCCCTCCAGGACTTTGCCAAAGACCACGTGCTTGCCGTCCAGCCACGGCGTCTTCACTGTGGTGATGAAGAACTGGGAGCCGTTGGTGTCCTTGCCGGCGTTGGCCATGCTCACCCAGCCCGGGCCGTAGTGCTTCAGCTTGAAGTTCTCGTCAGGGAAGCGGTCCCCATAGATGCTTTTTCCTAAGGGATGGAGGGCAAGGAAAAAGGTCTCGTTGCTCTTGTGGAAGTGCCTCAAGGTTGGGGTGGTGGCTTCATCCACAGGGTGGGGTTTGAACTCAGGAGGCCTCAAATTGCCCCAGGGGTGGTTGAGGTTGGACCTGAGGAGCAATTTCCTCCCCACCAGGGTTTGTCCAGGCCTGTCCCAGGCTGCCCAGGGCAGTGGTGGAGTCCCCACCCCTGGAGGGGTTTCCAAGCTGTGCAGAAGTGGTGCTGAGGGACATGGGTCTGTGGGGACTTGCTGGCGCTGGGTTAATGGTTTACTCGATGACCTGAAAGGTCTTTCCCAACCTGAACAACTCCATGACTCAGGTACCTGTCCCCATTGCTCCCCACCACCAAGCTCTACTTCAGGGACAGGTCTCTTGGAGCTCCATGCCCACTGTGGCATGTAATCCAGCTCCTCGCTGGTACCATGGAGCAGCCAGGCAGTGGGCAGGGAGGATGGAGTCCCGACAGCACCCAGATCCTGGGCCGGGGTTGGGCCAAAGTACCTCCAGTGCCATCACCGCGGGTGAAATCTCCTCCCTGGATCATGAAATCCTTGATCACACGGTGGAACTTGCTGCCTTTGAAGCCAAATCCTTTCTGGAGGTGGGGAGGGAGAAAACGGAACGAGGCAAAGGGCCGGACTAGAGCTCCCTCTGTCCAGCTCCACCCTGAGCAGGACCCTCCCAAGGGTTCCTCACCTCTCCAGTGGCCAATGCCATGAAGTTCTCCACCGTCTTGGGCACGGTCTTGCCAAAGAGACCGATGACCACGCGGCCCACATCCTCCTCCCCGATCCGCAGGTCGAAAAACACCTTGGGGGGGAGGGGTGGGGGGGGTAGATTAGG